GGTGTTTAACCCACGACATGAAGAACCATCACAGGACAAAGGCAGAAAGTTCAAACAATGATTTATTAACCCTAACTAAAAGTGTCCTGGAGATATCCAAGTGTGAAGTAGTCGGCAAGAGTCCAAAAGCCAGCAGGGAGGGCAAACGGTGTGACGGGGTACGTCCAGGAGAGGGAGCCAGATGATGGCGGCAGAGGGCAAGTGAAGCTGGAGGAGAGGTGAACCTTGAGTGTGTAATCCAGGCGGGTTATGGTGACTTCCAGGTAGGTACATCCATCTGTGGTTCAGCGATTCCAAGTATCCTGAAGATGAAACAGACTTGAGTCCAAACACCAAAAAATCCAAGCACAAAAAACCAGATAAATCCAAAAACTGTGACAGCACAAATGTCTGAGCAGAGACCAAGTAAAACCTTGTACTGAGTGGCAAGATTCTACCGTGAGTAGTTAATCATCCAGCGATGTGAAGTGGTTCCCTCTCCTCTTAAATAGAGCTCTGCTGCGGTTGATTAGAGGATCTGCAGCTGCCGCTGATCGGTAATGCCCCACAGCTGGTGAGTGCCCTCTCCTGGAATGACAGTCTTACAAAGATGTTGTGGAGAAGAGGGAGTACTCACCCCGTCACACAGCAATGCCCCCCCCCCCCCCCCCCTCAACGGACGCCACCTGGCGTCCTAGCAACCGACTCCTCGTAGTCCCGAATGAGGGAATGGTCCACGATGAAGGAGCGCGGGACCCAGGAGCGTTCCTCTGGGCCGTACCCCTCCCAGTCGACCAGGTACTGGACCCCACGACCACGGGGTCAGGAGTCGAGGATCCGCCGGACTGAGTAGACCAGTCCCCCCTTGTAGAGCCGGGCCGGCGGCGGAGGCGCAGGAGCAGGGCAAAGAGGACTGGAACCAACGGGTTTAACCAAGGAAATGTGAAATACAGGGTGTACCTTCATATTCCTGGGGAGGTCCAGCCGAACCGTGGTGGGAGTAGGCGTGTCCAGGACCCTGAAGGGGCCGATGAACCTAGGAGTGAGCTTCCTAGAGGAGGCCTTTAGCGGGATGTCCCGGGAAGACAGCCAAACATCCTGACCAGGAGAGTACAGCGGGGCGGGGCGCCGGTGTCGGTCTGCCAGCTGCTTGTTCCTGGCGGCAGTGCGCTCCAAAGCCGCCCGGGTAGAGGCCCATGCCCGTCTGGCCCCCCTGAGAAACTGCGGGATGGAGACTGAAGCCGAGGACTGCTGTGGAAACAGTGAGGGTTGGTAACCCAGAGATGCCTCAAATGGTGACTGACCGGTGGAGGTGGATACAAGGCAGTTGTGAGCATACTCGATCCATGCTAAATGTGTGCTCCAGGTGTTGGGCTGGGAGGAGCAGACACAACGCAGCATGGCACCCAGCTCTTGGTTTAACCGCTCACACTGCCCATTAGTCTGAGGATGGTGGCCGGAGGTGAGGGCGACCTTGGCGCCAAGGGCTTCTGCGAACTCCTTCCAGACCCGAGCCACGAATTGGGGACCCCGGTCAGACAGAATCTCCGTGGGAATACCATGCAGCCTAAAAACATGCTTCACAAGGAGTTTGGCAGTAACAGTGGAGGAGGAAAGGCCTTTAAGAGGCACCAAATGACATGCTTTAGAAAACCTGTCGACCACAGACATGATACATGTGAAGCCCTGAGATTCTGGAAGACCTACAACAAAATCAAGCGCTATATGCGACCAGGGACGTGACGGATTAGGAAGGGGACAGAGGAGCCCAGCTGGGGCTCGGTGGTCTCCCTTTTGCTGAGCGCACACATGACAAGCTGAAATATAGTTCTTAATGTCTATATACATGGAGGGCCACCAGAAGGTCCGTCGTATCAGAGCTATAGTGCGTCCCACACCTGGATGAATGGAAAACCTTCCTGTGTGTGCCCAAATTATAACCTGCCCCCTAAGCGCCTGAGGAACGAATAGCCTCCCTGGGGGTCCCCCTGGTCCGGGCTCGGTTTTGAGTGCCTCCAAAACCTTGTCCCGGATCTCCCAGGTGATCCCACCTACCACACACGACGAAGGAAGGATGGGTTCGGGCTCGGGTTCTTGGTCTGGTGCATACAGTCTGGATAAGACATCGGGTTTAGTGTTCTTTGATCCAGGGCGATAAGAAATCTGAAAATTAAAGCGTGAGAAAAACAACGACCACCTGTATTGGCGGGGGTTAAGACGTTTGGCTTCTTTCAGATAGATTAAGTTCTTGTGGTCTGTCCATATTAGGAACGGCTGTTGCGCTCCTTCCAGCCAATGCCTCCATTCCTCGATGGCGAGTTTCACCGCGAGCAGCTCCCGGTCTCCCACGTCGTAACGGCTTTCCGTCGGGGACAGCCGCCTGGAGAAAAAGGCACACGGGTGCAGTTTATTGTCATCGGGCGCTACCTGTGAGAGGACCGCCCCCACCCCGGTCTCAGATGCATCCACCTCTAGCACGAACTGCCTCTGGGGATCGGGTCTGTGGAGGACTGGAGCGGCGGTGAAGCGCCTCTTAAGTTCCTGGAAAGCAGCCTCGGCTTCTGGGGACCAGACAAATGGGCGTTTCACAGACGTTAAGTTAGTTAGCGGTGCGGCTACCTGGCTGTATCCCTTAATGAAGCGCCGGTAAAAGTTCGCAAATCCCAGCAAGCGCTGCAGCTGTTTCCTGGATGAGGGGGTGGGCCACTCCGTGACCCCGCGGACCTTCTCCGGATCCGCTCTGAGCCTCCCGTGTTCCACGATGAACCCGAGGAACTTGACCTGTGGGACATGAAACAAACACTTCTCTGCTTTGACATATAAGCGATTCTCCAACAACCGCTGGAGAACTGCTCTAACATGTTCCACATGCTGTGCAGAGTCCTCTGAAAAAATCAAAATGTCGTCTAAATAAACTGTTACAAACTTATTCAGGAAATCGCCCAACACAGAGTTCACAAGCGCCTGGAATACAGCAGGGGCGTTAGTCAACCCAAAAGGCATAACCAAATACTCATAATGTCCAATAGGAGTCTTAAAAGCCGTCTTCCACTCATCCCCTTGCCTGATGCGCACCAGGTGGTATGCGTTCCTAAGATCCAGACGGCTAAACACCCGTGCGTTCTGCACAGGTTCGAAGGTCGAGCTGAGTAGAGGCAATGGGTATTTATTCTTTACAGTGATCTGGTTTAGTCCTCTATAGTCTATGCAAGGTCTGAGGGTACCTTCCTTCTTTGGGACGAAGAAAAACCCCGCGCCCAGGGGAGAGGAAGAGGGTCGAATGAGTCCAGTGGCCAGGGATTCCTGTATGTAGGTCTCCATGCTCTCCTGCTCAGGTCTGGAGAGGTGGTACAGACGACTGCTGGGAAGAGGAGCCCCAGGCAGCAGCTCTATGCTACAGTCAAAAGGCCTGTGTGGAGGAAGAGAAGTAGCTCTGTCCTTACTAAATACCTGTGCGAGGTCGTGATACTCCTGGGGTACATTAGACAGGTCAATCTTCTCGGCTGATGGCGGTCTAAAAGCGCTGATGTTAGGAGGGGCTGCTCCGAGGCAGGACTGGGAGCATCTCGGGCTCCACCCCTCCACTCTTCCCGTCTCCCAGTTCACCTGGGGATTGTGGCGGAGGAGCCAAGGGTGACCGAGCACTACTGCAGTCTGTAGGGAGGGAAAAACAAAAAACTCTATTTCCTCCACATGATTTCCCGACACCCTGAGTTTTACCGGGACAGTCCGATGCGTGATGGTGGTTAAGCTGCGTCCATCCAGAGCCGCCACCGCGAGTGGAGTGGAGAGCCGGGTCGTGGGAATTCCCCACTGACATACTCGTTCTGTGTCAAAGATTGTTCACAACCTGAATCCAACAAAGCATCAACCGGAAACTGTTTAGCATTAGCATACAACATACAAGTTAACACACTGCGGGACCCCTTAGAGTTCTGACTGCCCACCAGTAGTCCCGACATTACCGGTGGGCACGCCCTTTTACCAGAACCGGGCAGGCTTTGGCAAAATGCCCGGACCCCCCACAGTACATGCAAAGACCTGACCTCATGCGATGTTCACGTTCCTCCTTGCTGAGTTTGGTCTTTCCTAATTGCATGGGTTCCTCCGGGGGAAGACTCTCCGAGGAATGACTTACTGACCCAGTTGCCGGTGTGGGTGTGGGCACGTGAAGCTCCCGGTGCCTCTTGTCGAGGGAGATGGCCAGCTTGATCAGCCCCTCCAGGGACTGAGGTTCCGGGCACATGGCGAGCTGGTTCCTGATGCGGCTGTTTAGAGCCTCCGTAAAGGCGGCGATGAGGGCCTCCTCGTTCCAGGCGGATCGAGCCGCCAGGGTACGAAAATCCAGGGTCATCTCTGCCACCGTCCTCTGCCCCTGTGACAGCGTCCACAGCCTCCTGCTTATGTCCATAGGGGATATGTCAGAGCCAAAAGTCAACTTAAATTCGGCCAGGAAAACGTCCAAGGGGCCTGCCAAAAAGGCAGGGTTGTGGCTCTTAGCTTCTGCCCACCTTAATGCTTTTCCTCGTAGCAGTCCAACAATATAAGAAATGCGATTTACATCAGTGTGGAAGGCTCCAGGAGACCGTGCAAACGCCAACTGACACTGGAGGAGAAAACTGTGGCACTCCTCGAACTCTCCACTGTACGTCTGAGCAGGAGGCGCAGGGGCGGTGTGGTAATAGGCGGGTTCCGCGGCCGCGGCCCCTTCAGATTTGAGCTCAGGAACGGCGAGGTTTCCTTGGGAGGTGGTGGCTCTCTCCTGAGAGGGGTCCTGAGCCTGGAGCTGGGTCAAGCCCTGTTGAAGTTGACGGATCATGGCCTCCAGCTGTTGAGATCGTTGGTTTACAATCTGGAGGTGTTCCAATAAGACCGGCAGGGCCTGTTCCTGCTGAGTTAACCTAGAACTGAAATCGGTGAGTGATGATTCCGTGGGGTTAGCATTTTGGCTGGATGATTCTGTCATGTTCCTGGGAAGGTGTTTAACCCACGACATGAAGAACCATCACAGGACAAAGGCAGAAAGTTCAAACAATGATTTATTAACCCTAACTAAAAGTGTCCTGGAGATATCCAAGTGTGAAGTAGTCGGCAAGAGTCCAAAAGCCAGCAGGGAGGGCTAACGGTGTGACGGGGTACGTCCAGGAGAGGGAGCCAGATGATGGCGGCAGAGGGCAAGTGAAGCTGGAGGAGAGGTGAACCTTGAGTGTGTAATCCAGGCGGGTTATGGTGACTTCCAGGTAGGTACATCCATCTGTGGTTCAGCGATTCCAAGTATCCTGAAGATGAAACAGACTTGAGTCCAAACACCAAAAAATCCAAGCACAAAAAACCAGATAAATCCAAAAACTGTGACAGCACAAATGTCTGAGCAGAGACCAAGTAAAACCTAGTACTGAGTGGCAAGATTCTACCGTGAGTAGTTAATCATCCAGCGATGTGAAGTGGTTCCCTCTCCTCTTAAATAGAGCTCTGCTGCGGTTGATTAGAGGATCTGCAGCTGCCGCTGATCGGTAATGCCCCACAGCTGGTGAGTGCCCTCTCCTGGAATGACAGTCTTACAAAGATGTTGTGGAGAAGAGGGAGTACTCACCCCGTCACACAACAGAAAGTCCGTAATACTCGGTACAAGAGGATGAGGATGGCATTTGGAACAGAACCGTACTCCATTGTGTCCTAGCAACCAGCGCTGCTTCTCGCTACAGTTAAAAAACAACCCAACATAAAAATAAAAGTCTCCTTTGTTCCTTAGAAAACAAAATAAAAAGGAAAACATATTATTTGTAACATATTTGGCCCACTTTGATCAAAACTCATAAAATACTAAGGGTAGCAACACTTTTGTCAGCATCTGTATTTCATCTGTGACACTTTTAATACAGATTTTTGGTTTTATTTTTTTGTTAAGTTTGTTTTTACTCAAGATGCTGTCAGTGTAAAAAACAATAATTATTTCTGCAGGCAGCATGTATTGATAACCTGTCAAAGAAAGACGCAGCATGATGTCTGTTGCCTGCATGTCTGTGTTTGCATCAATTTGCTTTTCATAAAAGCTAAAAGTAAACTTCTCAGATGTAATTGTAGATGTTTAAGAGGGACATGACAGCCTGTCTGCTTCTGGTGCTTAGATGTGTTTTCATCATTCTACCAAATGGACACTCGAATGTCTCTTTGAGTCTGAGTGAAGACATTTAGCTGGTCCCTCCAACTATTTTCAAATTTCAGGAGACGAGTATTTGTCCATATATATAATTATCATGCTTGTTGGTGAAGATGTTATTATATTCTTTGACTTAGTTTTTGTTTAATGAAAAAAAAAAACAAAGTCATCAGCAAAGATTTAAAAAACTTTGTCAGTTAGAATGTTGACGCAATGTTTTGTGTGCACCTGGACCTTTCTAGCAGTGAGCAGAATTCATGGTTCCAACTATTACCGCAAGTAGTCCTAAAGCAGTAAAACTATCCTAAAGCAGTACACTACCAACACCATGTTTTGCTGTTGGTATAACAATGTTTTAAAGTTGGTTCTACTCAATGTAGACTCCACAGAATATTTACCCATCAGAGTTATTGGTAAATATTGAACAGGAAATTTGGTTCTTTTTAGTTCCCACGTGCTTCTTTTTTGTTGTTGAATAATACGTTCTGACCAACAGCAGCCTTTATCAACAGACTTATTAGGCTGGTGGGTATTATATAGTCTGGCCATGACCCTAGACAGATATAAGTTGTGGGGTGGGATCTAGTCACATGCTATTGGACAATGAACAATGGGACATATTCACCACTAAGGATGTCAGTCAACAGGCCATTCCGCCATACACTACTGAAGATGCACATATATCCTTTTTCTAAATAAAGGACTTCAGTACCTCTATCTGCTCTTGACTCAAAGAAAAGCCCAAGTCTAAACAGTTCTAAGTTGATGCTAAAGCCGTTTGAAACGACCCTCGCCATTGTTGTTTTTTGGCTCAGTCACAACAAGAGAATAAAAAAGCTTGTTAAAAAAATAGCTCAGTTCTGGGCTGGCAAATACATTCAACTGAGGAGATGTGTGAAAGGAGGATATTGAGGAAGATGAGCTCCATCTTGGAAAACCCCTCCCACCCACTGTGGTCCACTAAGGAAGCCATGGACACCTCCTTAAGTGGCAGACTGAGACATCTCAGATGTAAAACAGAACGCTACCGTAGATCATTCATCCCCTCTGCAGTAAGAGTGTATAACTCCTCAGTTTAACTGGTACTGGCATTATCCTGGTACACAATAACAACACCGGATGAACATTGGTATGTCTGTGTCCCTTATGCTGCATAGTTCTGAAAAGACAAGTTTCCTTTTTATTCATTATTTTTAGTGGATGAAGGTTAAAATAATAGCTTACTGCCTTTGTGTGTTTACCTGTAATCTTTTTTTTCATCTTCCTTTTTCTCCTTTTTGATTGGCCCAACAAACTGACAAAGTGCAGTGATTGACATAATACTTATCAGGCCAATGGTACACCTGCTCAGGCTCCAGTGGAGAGTGCAGAGCAAAAACATTTTACTTTGGCTACTGTCTGTCTGGATTTCTAGGCTACGTATGTGTTGCTTTTTCAGATATTTTAACCTATCTCTTGTCAGACATGTCCTTCAGAAGTGAATGTTTAAATATTATTTTACAGGTCTGGTAGTAACTAGGTCTGCTTGTGGCAACTGAACTCAGTGTCCAAAATATTGTGGTTAATCACTGTGTGAAATCTGTTTTAGGCATATCTTCTAGTTCTAAGCCTTGAAGAAACATCAGAGCATGTACTTGTGTTTGCTGTTTTCTCTTTCCAGTAACAGTGAGTTGTTTTCCTGCGCTATGCAATGTGCTGAATAAATAATAATGACTTTATTAGCAGCATGCTTCAGGTACAGCTAAGACCAGGGTAATTACAAAGGTTACACCTATAATCCTTGATGAATCATTACATTTTTATATGCTGATGAGTTATTCTGTTGCTGTCTGTGTCAAACTTTTTGTTTTGTTGCTTGGTGCCCTACCTCATTTATGAGACCTGCATTGTTCATAAAACAGCAATTACCATTCCAGGTTTTATGAATTCTCTTTACTTTAAAGGTTACAAGGCCTGATTCAGCAGCAGCTACTTCTTGCCAAAACAAACATTTTTTATCAGAGTGGAACACAATTGAGAGGTTTTTGTGTACATTCCCAACTAAACATGAGACTCTTTGCTGAGAGGCACAGAAAAAGGAGAGCGAAAACAAATCACAAACGGTCCACAGTCATCAGGTCTGAAGCTATTTATTTACTTTTACATATTAAAGGTGTGGTTGACTGAAAAATAAAATTTTTAATGTTTCTTCTGATTATAATTGGTCACTCTGAATTTTTCATGCAGGCTAAATATGAAAATAGTCTCCTACACCTATCTCATGCATTAGCCTCTGATAGAAAATAGATGGTGAAATTCTAGGATGTGAAAATCCTGACAGATCTACATCCCACTGTGAATTAACATTCATGGACTCACTGATCTTGATTCATAACGGGAAAGGAGTTTATTGTTTTAACATCCAGGAATCAGCAGCAGACGTCTCGGCTAGTTTAAGCTAATCGTTAGCATTAGCCACTTCTCTTCACGGCAGAAGTGCTCCTGGATTGTGTTAGGCTATTTGTGGGGATAAATCATCCATGTTGCAAGTTAGTGGTAGAGTTGCGTTGCTGTTATCCAAACCGGGGCGAGATGTCTAAATATCAGGAAATAAGAGTGTCTTCCTATCAGGAAAATGTGAGGAAGTAAGATTGTCTTCTGAAGCTCATCTGCTTCCAGTCGGTAACAAGATGGCGCATGTGCTTGGCTTAGCCGCAGTCACCGGACACTTTTTCAAACTTTTCTCCACTAACCTCCTCTTTTCCACCTTGCTCCTGTCTGCGATCCTCTTCAGTAGTGTCCCTGCTACCATCTCCTATGATCGCCAGACTCTTTTGTCCTTCCGTTCGTTCACGATCGCCCAAGATGCATCAAGGTCGTACCTCCCCGTTTGTTTATCTGAGCAGCGCACCGGCCCGGAGCCAAACAGCGATCCCAACCATGGCGCTTGCAGCGATGTTTATCTGGTCTCGGGAAAACGATGGATGAAAAGAGGTAAATGAGCAGGAATCCAGGTGAGAATAAGACTTCTCTTAAAGCGTGGTTTATCTAGTAAACATTAGCGTGATCTTCTAGCTTCTTGTCCTTTGTTTGGCGACTTGAGCGCCACTTCCGCATTCCCGGCGGGCCGCGTTGCGGCGCGGTGTCTCCGTCCAAGTTTTTAAAGGTCGGTTTATCCTCATTCCTCAGTGGTTTCTCCTCTTGTTCTCTCCATAAGTGGTTTTCATAAACACCATGGATCTAACCCTGCTAATTTACGTCCTCTAACTCCAGCTGTTTATGTAGTTTCGGATTCCTCCTCCTCACTCAGCATGGCTCCATTCAATACCTGCTCTGTTCTCTGTTAACAATAAGTCCTTCCTGCTCAATGATTTAATTCTCTCTAAAAACCTGGATTTTCTGTTTCTGACTGAAGTTTGGCAGCAAACATCTGATTATTCTGGTCTGATTGAACTCTGCCCGAGTGGTTATTCTTTTCTTAGCCATCCCTGGGGTTCTGGTCATGGTGGAGGCCTAGCTGTTGTTTTCAGAGACCATCTTCCATGTAGCTCTACAACCTCTGGTCACTTTGCTTCCTTTGAACTGCAGCTGATTAAAGCCAGGCGTAAGGTCCCGTTCTACTGTGCTGTGGTTTATCGTCCACCTGGTCAAAAAGGTTCTTTCCTTCAGTTTAGTGACTTTCTATCCTCCACTGTGAAGCTGTCCAGACTGGTGATTGTGGCTGACTTTAACATCCATGTTGATGATCGCTCTGATCACTTTGCCGTGAATTTCTCTAGCCTTATGGACTCCTTCAGCTTTACCCAGCATGTTTCTGGCCCCACACACACCAGGGGACACACTCTAGACTTTGTTTTTACCCTGAGTCTAAAAGCGGACAATGTTTGTCCTGAGGACGTTTGTATTTCAGATCACCATTGCATTTTCTTTAACTTGTCAGTTTCTGCATACCCACCTCGTGCTCGCCGTATGGTTTGTTCTTGTTTTCTTAATGAGAGCACAGAATAGAAATTTTTCTGCTGCTTTTGATCCACCATTTTCTTCTGATAACGACCCATATTCCTTAACTTCTCAGTTTAATGAGCACTGCCTCTCCATTCTGAACAACATCTGCCTGTCATCAGAACCAGATCAGTTCCTGCAGTGAACCCTACTCCCTCGTTTAATGACAGCCTTCGCAGCCTAAAGTGCCAATGCAGAAAATTTGAGTACTTGTGGAAGAAAATCCATCTCCACGTCCATCTGTTGCACCTAAAGGATCTTCTGACATCCTTTAACTCTGCAGTCAGAGATGCTAGGGTTGCCTATTTTTCCAACTTTGTGTCCCAGAGCAAAAGGAACCCCAAGGTGCTGTTTAACACCATCAGCAGCATCGTCTCTCCTGTCTCTCCTACAGCCTCCATCCACTCTGTTGCAGACTGTGAGAACTTTCTGTCTTTCTTTGTGGACAAAGTCAATAAGGTTAGATCT